CACATCAATAGCATACAGCTCCACATACAACGTGGATTATGCGGCTAATCGTATAGCTCTCTCTTGTCCACTACCTTTGACAAGACCAGCCACGCAAGCTGTGCAGAGCACAGATAAGCTTGGCTGCATCGAACGGCGAAGCCGAACACAACTTATCCTGAACGGTGACATCGGCTCACTGAAGCCGATCCATCCGGGATATTACGCCGTCTTGCAGACAGCCACGCAGTGCGTCGTTAAGACGTAACCACCGCCGTTTCGCTAACTCGCGGTCAACGAAATCCTGTCGAGAACGAGGTTAGGCTTAACCAATCGTAATCGTTACAGTTACTCTCAACTTGAATAGCTGGGCCAACCCTTATTGGTGGTTTCTGCTAGTTTGCAGGCCAAAGCGTTGGGCATACGGGTTGGAGTGGGTTCGTCCGGGACGCTCGAAAAGATCTGGCACAATCTTCGAGCAGTGGGCCTGGCTGACGCCTTTGAGGTTGACCACGTTGTCAGCGCCACCGAAGTGCGGGCGGGCAAGCCCGCTCCAGACGTCTACCGTAAGCCTTTTAGTGCTGTTGTTCCAATTGCGTGTCTTGCGTACTCGACTCTTTACATTTAGCTGTGGCTTAGCTTTTACTTCTTGACCGTGAGGTTTTGAAACACATTTTCTTTTCAGTGCTGCTCCAAGATTGCCTGGCTTTGTCTCAATGGTAATTCTTTCTCATCCCATCATGTGTTGCGGTGCAGTGGAAGTGATGAAACGTCTAGGATGCAGTAATCCAGCTGAAGCAGTCATCATAGAAGATGCAGTGCTTGGGTTGAGAGCTGCAAAAGCTGCAGGCGCGTTAGCTATTGGGGTCACGAACACACTTCCAAGGTCGTCGTTGGAACCCGAAGCTGACCTCGTACTCTCCTCTCTTTCACAAATCGACCTAGAACAACTTCCTCGGATACTTATTTCGAACTGAGCTACATGGCATGCTTGCGTGTTGTAAGGGTCATTAATATGAGGTGCACGCTGATGCAGGGTATTCTACATTGGAAATAGGCGTAGAAGCACGTGGCTTCTAGATTCTCAAATTGAATAGCCTTTCAGCTTGAATGTCAGGCACCTTAACGTTATTCAATCACTCCATGGTCATGGTCAACAGCGCGATCGACGGATGCACATGCATGCTGGCACCGTCGCCCTCATCATTCCAAATACAGTCACCATGCGACAATTTGTGCCAGTGGCAGTATATTCCCAATTATTTTTCTTTTTGGGTCAAGATCGTATACCGGTACTCAATTGACTGCAATATAAATTGCGTCCCCGGATTAATGTATGCAGTGCATATATATAATTGGGGGCCCCGGACTGCGCATGCAGGAATTGACAGTGACTAGCTGCAAATCCACATGCAACTAGATATGTATATGCTTGGCGCCGATCACGCCCATTTCGATTCGGCTTTTACCGTACTGCGCTATGCGCCACTTGCACTGCAGGAAGACTTCGAATAGGTCATCGTGTCTGGTCGGTGACCTTTTCGGTGAGCGCCTGAAAGCTTTCATGGGCGGAGCTCCGGGGCAGTACCTACGACATGCACCAAATTGCGATACTAGTAATTCCAGATGATCCGATGATGTGCAATGATGACCATCCAGAATATTTCTCAGTTCATCAGCGCTCGCGAGTTCTCTTGCAGGCGAGTGTGTGCAGTGCTTGTCAACATCTTCTCAGAATCATACATCCTGGGTTGCATCGAATAGCTCACTAAGCAGGTCGAAAGCAGAGCATTTTAATCGTGCTAAAACCTCCACAACGGAGTTCACGTCTCTTCTGAGGCGCATCTTGACCGCACGTAAACGAAGCACCAAACGTCATATATCCCAGACAAGCTAAGACGCACAAGACATTGATAGTGGCGACCTATTTGCTTTATGCATTGCTCTAGCATCAATATCCGGTACCAGGGGGGCCTCCAGGGGGTGGGCCATTCGGCCGTGGGCCTGGCGGGCCCCCTTGAGGCGGGCCGCCGTACGGAGGCCGAGCACCCGGAGGCGGGGGCCCCCGGTAACCAGGGGGAGGAGGCCCGGGCGGCCCACCGAAGCCCGGTCTTGGTGGAGGTGGCCCTGGAGGACCGGCTGGCATGTAGCCTGCATATGACAAGACGTTTAGGGAAGGCACGTCTGAGTTACATCTTAATTACGGCTGGCTGCCCGCTTAGGTAGAAGCAATCTAGTCTCCAAGGACGCTGCAAGGCTCCGCCAATTGTCCACTTTCGCTCAGCGGTCGTTAATGCCATAGCTGCAGTTTGGATTGGACTGCTCGCAATGTTGGAAATCAGAAGCACGGCCAGAGATATGGGAGAGTGAAATGGTTTACGGGAAAACTCCAGGGAAAGCCGGGAACTTCAAGCCGCATCCAATGCAAACATCTCACGACTACTCCCGTGAACTTCAGAAAGCGTTCAAAGCCCTCTGCCGGACAGCCTCGCCAGAATGTGCCCCTGAACCCCCTTTCCTATTCCCAGCGCCATTTGCTTCCTATGCACTTCCCAATAAGTAGATAAATGCACAACTGAACGTGACCGCTGCGAAGTGAGAAAGATAATCTAGCAACCGGAAGTCGGGACCACCTTCCGACAGGGCCCGGGAAACTCAATCTCAATCGCAGTTAGATGCGCAGTCACCAACAAGACCTCCTCGGTTGGATCTATGAAGCGAAGGCACTCCCACAAGGCGGTGATTCCAAGATGTGAGATCTGCTGCCGCAGAAACGAGTCCAAAAAAATGGCACCCGGTTCTGTTAATGATCAAAAGTGTAGGTCACCCAACTAACCAGCGCTCACGATGATGACGGGCGAGTCTTCCCAAAAACGGGTGCCGATGCTATGACAACAAAAACTTCTCGCAGGATACTCAGATCATTTCCCTGACTCCTTTGAAAGCGTACCTGGCTGACCACCCCCAGGTGGACCCCTCGGCGGCGGCCCCGGCGGCCCAGGCATTCCCCTTGGTCCCGGCGGCCCGTACCCCGGACCTCCCGGCCGAGGGCCGTAGTGAGGTCCACCCATGTAAGGCCCCTGCCCGGGGGGAACCCCCGGGGGCCCAGGAGGGCGCGGCGGCCCGCCAGCGGGGGCGCCTCCCCGCTGGGCGGCGAAACTGGTGTTGTAGGCCAGGTCGTTGGGGTCGAAGAGGGGGTTCGGAGCGTTAAACTGCTGCTCGAGGCCGGCCTGCGCGCCGGCGACCTGCTGGGGGAGGGTGGGGTTGGTGAAGTCGCGGCTGCGGTCGTTGTTTGCCTGCGGGAAAAAAGGAAAGGGGCGCTCAGGTTGGATGGAAAAGGAGCGAGAAAACCGCAAAGCGCGGGCCCGGCTCATTGCGAGGCAGTCCAACTCCTGGGTCCCACTGTGAAAGTCTTCCTTCAAAAGTTGAAGCCCCGTCTTTCCCATGCTCCGTTCTTCTCTACTCTCCTCGCCAATCTCGAGGGCTTTCAGAAGATCGAATCTCTGCTCCAAGTTACAATCTGATCCACAGGCGATAACCCTAACAATCTTCAAGAAAACCTGCTCAAGCCTCACTTTCAGACGAACACAGGACAAGCATCGGTTGCAGGGCTTTTCCGGTCTGGAGAGCCGTCTGTGGCTCACCTTGATGTTGAGGTCCGTATGCCGAGAGAAGTTGAGCCGAATCACGCAGTAGCCCCCATCGTAGATCGCGTGCCCTTCTAGATGCTCTTTGGCAGCCGCCGCCGTTGCCACATCTGAGGGCAAGCAGAAATAGTCAGTCAGCTTTTGCTTCTTCGACAGCTTTGGTGACAAAAACTCTGAAGAATCTCCTTCCGCGATCTTTTTTGATTGGTGCCCCAGCGCAACCAAACCCGTACATGACACCAACCGTCCGCCGCGGACTTTACTGGGGCAAATAAATCGGTTTTCCCCCGTATTTTCCGCGATAAAGACAGAAATTCACCAGAAAACCTCATGGAAAAGAGCAGGGAGCAGGAGAGGCCCCTCGACGTGCAGCTTGCTTGTAGTCGAGAAGCGCAGATCGTACATTGACTGATTTCACCAAGTTGCGTACTTCGAAATCCTCTCGAACGAGGGTTCCTGCTGAAGGCAACATAGCAGACTCTCAGAGATCAGAAACCCTGTATGCCAAAGTCCTGCTGGGATCGTCACGATGCTGCTCTCACCTGGGTACTGGACCAAGGCTTGAAAGCCGGCCTGTTTCTCGAAGATGGCAATCTTCTGCACAAAACCAAACGCCGAGAAAACCTGCACACGGCAAAACATCTCGGATCAGAAGCATTTTCTGCAGGCAAGTCTGTCAACAAGATAGACTGATCCAAAATCTCGCAGAGGTCGCAGAATCTATGCAGAACCCACGCATGTGACATACAGCATTGATGTGTGAGCCCTGCAGCGCCTCAGAACAGGGGCGCGACAAGCCTTGTTGCCATGAAAACCTCTGTTCCACATACCGTATGAAGCACGTCTAAGGTGACCTCGTACTGCATGTTCTCAATCGACGCCAATAAAACGTTGCTCTCCGGCTCCTTTTTCTGTGACCCCAGGCTTGGATCATTAGCTGAAGCCGCAACCGGAAGGTACGGGTTTGTGTAGTCTCTGCAGCGAAACAAAACGTTTGTTTGTAGGGGCTGCAGCAAACAACGGTGTCTCTAATGAAAGGCACTCCAAAGCGGGTGTGGCAAACTTAGCAGATTCAGAAACCAGCACTTGGGAGCGGGTCAACATGACAAGACGGACACAGCTGCGGGTTCAAAGCATATTTGCAGATTGGTTCACTGACAACCTCTGGCAGAACCGAGTTGGTTGCTCTTCAATTTGCTTGTGTGGAAAAGAATAACACCCCTGTCTTAGCGACCTTAGTACCACTCACCTGCTTCGATGACTCTGAAATTTGACGCTAAGATCTTGGTGAGCAGAAAAGGTGATGCGAAACGTACAGGGAGGCACGTCGTCTGACAGGAGGTATCTGCAAAGAGAACTAATCCTGTCAGGCTTAAAATTCAATCCCAGCTGCTATAAAAGAGCGTTCGCTCCTGGTAGTTGCGGCGCCGGAGGTCATCTAAAACCGCTAAGTCACAGAGAGGGCAACAGGGTGTAGCGACCAACAGGCCAGAACTCCCTCAGACACCAGTCTAGCAACACGACACATCAACAGAAACAGTATTTGCATATACAGTTCGCTGATTGCACACAAGACGATAACACGACAGTGTGTCATACACAAACTGCATTAGCCTTCTTTAAAGCCACTCACCGGGGTATACTCCTGCCTTCCAGTGCATTCTTTGCCTGCTCTGCTGTTTTGTGGTCCCCAAACTGGACCAAAGCCTGCACCAGAAGAGAGGAAAGGGCTCAAATTGTGGGCAATCCATGATGCTAGCACGTCCTCTGCTGCACTCCTACAATTGGTCGCAAGCAAGATCAGAACAAGCACGACGCATCAATGCAACATCTGCTGGCGCTCATTGCTCTCACTCACCTGAAAACCTGCCTGCTTTTCAAACGTTGCAATCTTGTGGACAAAGCCAAACGCTGAGAACACCTGTCAAGCAAGGGCACACCAGTTAGAGCCCGACATGCATGGCAAATCCCTGAGAGCTCCAAATTAAAGTAGGACAAAGTTCACAACCATTTGAGCTTTGAAAGACAGCATTTTCGCTAGAGCTTGCCCTGTGAATACCAAAGCAAAGTCTAGCTGCCAACATAACTGATTATGCAAACAAGAAGATCCTGCCAGCAGGGCCTCAAAGAAACATCTGGAACAAAGACTGTTCTCTGAGAGAAGTGAAGTCAAATTGGACAGCAAAGGACATGGGTGTGATCCTGCTGCGATCCAACGATAACAAAGATCTCGCAGCCAAAGATACAAACAATCCAGACAGGCATACAGGCAACATCAATTTGCGAGCATGAAGCTAGCTGCTCTGCAACCAAGAACCGAACCAACGTATTTTAGGGTTACACAATCCAACGGGGAGGAGGGGGGAGGGGGAGGTGAGCAGGGTAAGGGGTTTATGGGACACACTGTTATTTCTCCGACAAGTGGAGCCTCGTTGGATCAGGGCAGGTGCCTTGCCATCCCTGCCCACCCTTTTGAACTAGACACGCAGACAAGACGAAAGGTCGGCGTGAGCACATGCTGCTTGCATACTTTCCAGGTAAAAAGGCACGCACCCTGCCAGCGTGCTCGGACAAGCAAGGAAGTTCTGCAGCACAAGCTCTTATGAGCGCATGACTGGATAAGAACTTGTGTAAGACAACCACAACCGACTCACCAGATGGAGCACATCAATGCTGACTTGGCCGCTTTCCACACCTTCTATCGACACGAGGAGAACGTTGCTGGGGGCATCCCCTGTGTTCCTGGTCGCGACAATTTCCTGCCGTGTCGAGTACTGGAGGTAGACGGCCTTACCCCTGACTTGCGCTGGCTCTGACGAGGAGAGGAAATAGCCTACCATCTGCACAGCTTGCTGCAAGCTCTCCTGCAAGCAAACATTGAAGACTCGATCAATGAACAACAATCCAGAAAACGTCACAAGAATGTCTACACAATTGGGTAATGGTGGATTGTTCCAGATGCAATGCGCAAATGGAATGCAAATCCAGATGCAATGTGCAAATGGAATTCAATCGAACTCTGCAATAAGCACGAACTCACACAGGAAAGGCATAAGTTCACTGAACTCCACAAATTGTTTCGGCTTTCGACATACTTGTGCTCACCATCTCAACAAAAGCCTGATTATGATTGGCTCCAACATTCAGCTTCGTGTTGACCACTTTCCCAAAGGGTTTGCACATCTCGATCAGTTCTTCCTCCGTCGTCCCCCAAGGCAGGTTCCGCACATGCACCACCTTCGACGGTGGCTGCGAGTACCTAAAGTTTGGGTTTCCATCCGTGTCCCGCGTCATGTTGCCTCCAGCTTTTCCAAGTTCAGCGGCAGAAGCTTTTTATCCTGATGATTCTGATTGCCTTTCGATAGGCGCAAAGAAGAATTAACGTTGAACGTTAAAGCCCTCTCTCAGTCACTTTCGGCCTACAGAGTCCCTGAGGCTAGGTAACGTTCTCTGCTAACAGAGTCCAACAATTTTCTAGTTGCCGCCCTCGCTTGAAGTTGAATCACCAATCAAGAATTGAAAAGACGCCATTGAATCTGAAACCCTTTTTTGCTCGCTCTTCAAACGAACGTCCTCTTCAAACCCCTTGACACTCTTGCGGTTGTTTTCATGCTCACCCTCTGCAACGCTGGACTCTATCCACCCGCGGCGCTACGTGACTCTCCAAAGAAAGTGCAAATCTAGTGTCAATCAAAAGTGAAGCTTGTGGTGGGAGGGCAGCAGACCTGAGACCTTCATGATTCCTAGTCTGTACAAGTTCTGTATTGATACATACCCTTGGTGGCGGCATAGGGGAGGACTTTTAAGCTAGGGTTGGCTATGAAGCATGAGAATCTGGCCCATGCTTATAATCCCAATCTCTGAAGATTGGTTGTACCAGCAACCTGGAGGGTGTGAACGTGACATTGGGATACTTGCAGAGACTCCCGTGCATTGGACCAGCGGCCACGACTGCGGTGGCACATTGCCCCCTCTTTGTTCTTGTAACAAAGGACCCGCTCTGAGTTCAACTGTAGGCGTCTCGTTGCATTTCTGCGCTTGTCCCCACCCAGCGGTCCTAGGAGCCAGAGAAATGATTTTCTGGCACCGCCGCATGCTGTCTGCTCAATGAGACTGTTCACAACAATCCTACTAGGAGAGACGCGTGTGATGCGCTTTGCAAATGGATGCTGCCATGCCCAGAAGCAGCAAGGATGCTTCTACACCGGGGCCTCTAGAAGCGGCGCTCGGTAAGGGTATGCCTGGTGCATCCCCCCTGCACGAGAATGGCCACTCTGAAGGGGCTGCCGAGGGACCGGAAGGAAGTGCCTCAAAGGGAAATGCTTCCGTACCTCACAGCATTGTGCAGTCGCAGACGGGCACCGGACGAGCGTCGGGCGACCGAGAAGGTGTGGGGGCGATGGTCGTGCACTCGGTGAGTGGTGGCCTAGCGTTCGAGGCAGGAGTACGAGCATGTGTGGAATTGAGACTGGCAGAGAAGTCAGGAACTTGGATAGCTACTCCATCAAGGGTGCCCCTCCATTGGTCAAAGAGAGCAAACCTGGAAGTTCTCCAATCCACTCTTGCAGTGGCTGCTTGCAGCTGGTTACCCGAAATGGCCAATGCTTTTTCAGGCCTAATGTGACAAGAAAGTCATCACTTTGAAAGATGCATATGACAACCACCCGGTTCGCTACCGTCAAGGACGACACCTCTTCAGCTCTTCAAGTCCCCAGTTCCTTGAGACAGCAGTCATACCTGCCCCTCTCCTAATGCAGGAGCCGACGGGGTACGTCTTCATCCAAACGGTGGACGGAGACATCGAGAAGGTGGAGAAGGACGTCGCGTTGCTCTCGCCATACGTCCACCGCGAGGTGAACCGCCATGGGCGGGGCTACAGCCGCGACTCCCCGGTGGCGCTTCCCAAGCAAGTCAGCCCCGCGGTGCTTAAGCTTATCCTCGAGTACTGCCGCTTCCATCGCGTCTCGGGGCGCTCGGACAAGGTACGCTTATGAGAACTTTACTGGTCCGCTTGCTGTCAAGTGATTGCATTGATTGCTTTAAAAGCGTGCTAGCCTCCCAAGTGTTGTTTGTACCTGGAGCCTTCTTTGGGTCGCCTTTTCTTGCACTGATCTCTCATCCCTCTCTTGACACAAACGCCATTCTTTTCCTAGAGCAGCACTCCAACGGTTTATGAAAACGTCTTTTTGCGGCACTGATGCACAACAACTACTAATGGCTCGGCCAGCTGGACACTTGGTGCTATGAAGACAATATTGAACTCGTATCTCAATCGGCTACTCCAGAGCTTGGCTTTGATTAGTCATTCACTCCATGCTGTCCCCAGGAGCGCAAGATCTTTGACGAAAAGTTCATCCGGCTGGACACGCGCGTGCTGTGCGAGCTGACGTCAGCGGCAGACAGCCTGGACATGAAGCCGCTGGTGGACCTCACGAGCCGTGCGCTTGCGCGCATGATTGAGGGGAAGACGCCTGAGGAGATTCGCGAAACGTTCCACCTTCCGGACGACCTCACAGAAGTGCGCCGCGCTCCTCAGTTGCGATTTTCATTCCGACCGCAACACCTGTCATTGTTTTTGCAAGCCTTGCCACCTCTTTCGACGATCTGATCAGGTCATTGTGCCAAAGCTTACTGCACAGATGGGCACACCGTGACTGAAGAACGATGATCATGCGAGCGGTTTTCAGGAGAGAAAGGGTTTCCGAACAAAGTACCTAGCGGGCTATATGCCAGGTGTCAACTGTTAGATAACCTTCTTCTCGGGTCGTTATCACAGGAGGAGAAGCTTGAGCCTGTGAAGAACGCGACCGACGACCCCCGCATACGGCTGCTGAACCGGCTATATGCACGGAAGCGGAAGGAGCTGCAGGACAAGAAAATGACCAAGGTGAGCGGGAGCGACTTGGTGACTTGGCTTTTTGACTTCTTGTCTCAGTGGACGTAAAAACTATGGACCTCTTGACTTCCGGACTTCCTGACTGACTGTGACTAACAATCACTTTGACCTTGATGACTCCGTTGTCCCTCACCGACTTCACGATCCCGAACCCCTCAACTTGCCCGCTGGAAAGCAAACATAAACCAAGCAATTTTCCTTGTTGCAGCAAGAGATCCAGGACGCTGCTGGCAGCAAGAAGGACAACCGTTCGGTGGAGGCCCTGCTGCAGTTCATCGATGGCAGCGCGGGTGGGAAAAAGTCCAAGTCGAAAAAGAAGAAGAAGAAGGGCAAGAAGGAAGAAGCGGATGACCACGTTTCTGAAGATGTAAGCACTCGCAGCCGTCTAACGAAGTGGTCGTGCGGCAGTCCCTTCTGCTCTGGTGCCCGCCAAAACGCTGATCAATCGCCATTGGTTCTCGGAGCGTCGCGGGTGCCGCGACGCTCCCTTAAAGCGTGTCGTGCACAGGTGGAGTTATGTCCCCGTGACCCAGAGCTCAATTTGCGCCCGTGCTTAAATCCTTATTCTCATGCATCTATGGGAGAGTACCTCGGACCAAATATTGGTCGCAGTACTTCTGGCCACGATCAGTGGAGAATTGAGTACGACGCATGCTTGGACTGTGCAGGGGTCTGCTCGGGGTGCCGTCAGAGCCCCGTCCGAGGAAAATGACGATGCATCCGTTGAGGCCGAGGAGCTGGTGAGGTTCTTTCTCTGGAGTGATTTCTGCAACCATGCCGTCTTTGTCGCGGCCGCCCAACTGCTCGGAGTGCTTTTGTACCTGACACTGTCAACCACCAACGGACGTTCGACGTTCTCGTCGCTCCTCTTTGCTTGATTCTCAACATCTAGCTCCTCTAGCCCTGCTTTGCGTTCGCTAGCCGCTGCGGTGAAGTGATTCAGGGGGTCCATTTCGCCTGCCAGGTGTCCCCCCGGACCCCGCCCCCCGTGGGCAGTCAAAGGCAGAGTGGACAGCGAGGGCACTCGCGGCTGGGGTCGTGGCTGGGAAAGAGCGCGGGGCAAGACGGGCTGCTGCCGGAGCAAGAGGGCGACGGCGACGAGCTGGCGGCGGGGAAAAAGGACGCCCTGGAAAGGCGAGTGGGCTTTGTTTTTACGGATCTGACAGTAAAAGAAGAGGGATGGGGTGTGATTGTCTAGAGGTTCATGGCCATGGGGTCTTTGAATACTGCTGAAGGAAGTGGTTGTTCAGGACGGATGGCAAACTGCTTGTGACGAGCTTATATACACTGCTGAGACTGGAGAATTGTAGGCGACCCGGAAACGGGAGAGGTGTTCAAGTGGGGCGGACTGCTCGTTTTTCACTGTTTGAAGGCTTCCACTCACAGGGAGGCTTTGGGACGGGGTGCTAGACTACAGTTTGCCCACCGTACATCTTCACCAGTGGGGCTGTCGATCGAATCCACTCAGCCTCGCCCGTGCATGTCAGCAAGTCTTTATCATGCTTTGTAATGTACATTTCCGGCCTATGGTCGCAAAACCCGGAAAACATTCAACGGGAAGAAGTATCTTCTTGTGAGAAAGGACACCGACCGAGAGAAACACTGTCCGATTAGCTCGGACCAAGAGCTGACAAACCGGCCGCTGTGTTCCTCTCCAGCCCCCGCGCCCTTGCCTCCTCAGACTGGACTGAGCGCATGCAAGAGATTCTGGCACTTGCCTCATCCAGCCAAGACCGGCTCCAAGCCTCTCTTGGGGGGGGTACGATGCCACCCCCGGCGACCCCCCCGGCGCGGCGACGGGCCCCTGGAGACGAGGACCCGATCCAGGCCAAGCTGCGCACAATTCAAGAGCTGCATGAGCAGCTGCGCGGGAGCCGAAGCCCTTCGGGGGGGTCGGAGGAGCGCCCGGAGGAACCCCCTGAAAAGGAGGAAAACGGTTTAGCCGATGTTGTCGTGGCTGCGGCAGCTGCAGCAGCGGAGGCAGCGGCGGCGGCGGCGGCCGCGGCTCGGGACGCCGCGGCGCGGTGTCGGAGTGGGGGGGAGCGGACTGGGCTGGAGTCGGGGGGGGGTGAGGGTGCGGGGGCGCGGCTCGGCAGGCAAACTAGCATGGGGAGCGAAAGGACGTCCGAAGGGGGAGTAACCCCGGTGGTTGAGCGAAGCAGGAGTGCGGACGGGGCAAGAGCGGGGACGGGGGAGCTGGCGCGTGAGGAGGTGAGTCGAAGAGAGGGGGGGGTGCCGAAAGGAAAAGGCGCTTCGGAAGATAGCGGGTCCGTGGAGGCCGGGTTGGCATCGCACAATAGAGCGGAGGCTGACAGTAGAGCGGAAAGCGGCACCCAAGCGGGAACGCAGAACCGGGAGGAGACCCGACAAGGAGCGGAGACTGAACGCGGAGCAGAGGAAGAAAGCCAAGCTGGAAATCAAAAGCGAGCGGAGACCCGGACCCGAGCGGAAAACGGGTCGGCACGCCACCGGTCGCACCAGCCATGGACGGGGATCGCGCTCTTGGAGGCCCAACAAACGGCGGCGTTTTTGCAGTCGTTTATCCGGCGGGTGGGCTTCGACCCGATCGTAGACGTGGGGATGCGGGGGGGCGTGCCAGGTGTCGAGCTGGAGGACGACCACGTGGCGGAGCAGTGGGCACCCGACGGGCGGCAAATGAGCATGTGCGTGCGGCTGGCATCGGGAAGCATCGTGTCGATCGCGGTGGCAAAGCCGCCACCTCCCGAAAGGGTGGGTCAGCACGGTTCTTAACCGTGGACTGCATTTCGCGTTGAGAGGAAGATACTAAAGACTCAAAATTTTAGGCCTTCGTTAGTCACTATGCGGGAAGGGTAACTGCTTGTGTGACAGCTTCTTGCAGACCAAAGATGTGGATCTGGTTGCTTATATCAAAAGTAGCGCAGGACAGTGCAGAGGAAGGTCTGCAGCAATTGTTGATTGATCGGTTTGTCTGATCTAGAAATCTAGCCGGAGGACCCTCACTGAAGAGTATTCAGAGCGTTGAAATTGATCCTGATAGCCGCGCATGATTCAGACGTAGGCCCAGGCATCGTGAGAGGAATTCTTACGATAAAGGGAAAGACTGAAGTTTGTTCCACACACCGTATGACTCGCATATGGTCCAGGGCGGCCCGGAGACTCAGATACCGCTAGACAAATGCACGATTACTCAACGGCCTTGAAACGTGCATGCGGCAGGTTCGTGCAGGCAAACGTGCAGTGCCGGCTGCAGTTGTCGCTGGACTGCATGATCGCACGACAACACGCGTACGTACGCGCAGCTCGTACGGTATATATTCACCACATGGGTTAGTATGTCGGCGGCATGCATGACATGTGCATGTGCATATAGGTACTATGATATCAGTTATAATGATTGCAGGCCACAATCGAATCTGTTTCTGCACGCGGGCCCGCCTGGCACATGCAACGAATTGCCAGCTTAACATGATTGCTGATAGTGGTCATCCACATTTCAGTCTACCACGCAGCGCCGCAGCCGTCCACTGAGCTAGATATGTCATCCATTTGGATGAAAGATTATATCGATCTTAATCATGCCAAACATGAAAGGTTAGGGAGGTCTTTGCACGACAACCTGGCCGGCGCTGGCATCCTTCAAGTCTGACGTTAGCTTTTCTACTCTGCCCGGTTCGACTCTAAGGGCCATCTTGACGCCCCCAACGTCCCCGCTTCCGAACTCTTCCGAGATTTTGTCGGCACCATGAGCTTCCAACTGCGGGGAAGAATAATGCTTTCGATCGGAAAAGCTCTCTCCTAGCACAGTCTGACGTCTCAAAGTTGCCACTTGACAACTCATTCCAGGATACCTATGCCAGAGCTCCTTCTCCAGAACCTCATGAGCACGCCAATGTTGTTTGCAGCCATTGGGATTTCTCTGTTAGGGTGAATCCGGCCGTCAAAGGGGTTCTCGCTTCAGGTCAGGTGGATCATCAACGATAGGGCGTAACGATCGGGGGAGTGATGCAACCAATAGCCTCACCAGTGAATAGAGGATGCCCAGAAGCTCGTAGGGCACTAACACTTCGACCGAAACCTGCGCAAAGACACCCACGGTCGCTTCACCAGGACCTTCTGTAGCCAGACTCCGAAGGGCCGCATGGTCCGTGCATCACCCGCTATAAGAAAATATTGACGACCACTTGTAGCAGATCAACCAGCACACGCAGTCCACCTTTGACAGCAAGCATACGACAGACTTCATTTGCAACTAACGGTGCGGAGGCCCGCAGCCGAGTACCATCAAAGAATTTGATCGTCAAACGAATGACGTCGTTGCAGTTACGTGTGAATTTAGCCAGATTCCGAGACCCACTTTCAAGGCATACTTTTCTGTATTACTTAAAGTAAGCTCAGATTGTAGCAAGAACGAAGCTAACACCAACATCCAAAACCCAATTGATCACCCGCTCCGCACCCGTACCCACCCCAAACCCTACCCGTCAAATTACTATAAGTAGACCTATTCTGGAGACCGATTTTTGAGGCCGGTTGGGCAGCAGACCGTACCTTGGCTCGGACCTCCCGGGTCGGCGCGTCTCGGAGGCAGGCGGTTACGGCGCCGCCGTACGCGCGGACCAGGCCCCCGCTACCCAGCTTCGTACCGCCAAAGAATCTGCATGGTACATCCGTGAAGGGGAAACGTGAATGGGAAGACTGGAAAGGTCCTGACGGCTCAAAAAGCATCCTCTTTCATTTCCTGCTGCAGACGTCATTTCAAGGGACTACAAATAATACGCACAGGATGTCGTTTATCTAGCAATCTTTTGATCTCAAAGACTGGTGCGGCTAAGTTCGGATGGTTTCTTCGATTCCAGACGGGCAATGTTCGAAACGATTTTCGGACGGCTAAAACCAGGGTTTCACCTGGTGAAACTGCAGTCGATTCGATACCGGTTTAGTGCCAAATCAAAAAGTGACCACGTCATCATGCCGAGTTCCGATTCGCGAATAAACAGCTGTCACGGACTGCAGCTTGAATGAATGAAACCCTGGCTTTACCCATCCAAAATTGGAATAAATCTTTGCCCGTCCGGAATCGAAATCATCCGACATCAACCGCACCAGTCTTGAAAACACATCAGTTTCTTGGTTCAAATCCTCTTTCGGCAAATCTCTGCCTCTTCTCGTTTGGAAGTCGAAAATGTAGGTGCATATCCTCCTGCTCCTACCTGGTTACAACCACCATAATGGCGTCAAGCCCCGACCCCTCAATTGCCGCGTACATCGGCCGGCCCGCTGTCCCGCCCGGCTCTCCATCGTCGCTGAACCGGTACCGTTCGCCCAGCTGCATAAGTGAAGAAACCAGACGCTTATCGCAAGATGGAAACAAGAAAACTCGGGGCCAAAAATGTCGGACCAGAATAGATGAAAAAACGAGGACACAGGCTGAAACGCAGGCTGATTGGGAACCAAGGTTACGGAAGGGACATATAACACGGCAGAGACATGGAGACGAAAGCGGGGCCTTGAGCTCTTCCGTCAAATAGAAGCCCGGTTGAAACACCATTGCATAAAGCTTGATGATCGATGGGATGGTAAAGTGCGCCCCAGCTAGCCGTGAGCCAAACTCCTTGTGTGTCAGGAGGCCTTACCTTGAATGCCCAGCAGTTGTGACTCGCGCTCGGGTCCTTCACCTGCACCTCTGTTCAAAGTAAGGCGCATCAGCCCCAGTACACATGTTTTGCAAGGCCCAACAGAGGGGGCAACATATCAAACTCATCTTTGTACCTCATACTGCCCTCAGCATTGCGGTGCTTGCCCTCAGCAGTGCACATATCTGACACGACGTCCTGTGGCATCAGCAATTCTCGACATATGCTGAAGTGTTCATTTCGGGGTGGACATCGGCAATCCGCAAAAGAATCTTGCAAGGAAAAGGGCACTGCCCGAATTTGACAACGAACACTGAACAGCCGCCTCCCTATCAACAGACCAGGAGTTGGCACCCTCTTGTGTCGCATTCTCCCTATCGACAGACAAGGAGTTGCAACCCTTTTGACACAAGAGGGTGCCAGCTTTCAAGAAGCAATCCTCCTCCTGGTTTCTGTAAAGAGCAAGGTTACTCTGCAGAGCTTTCTTGACTTGCCTCGTCCAGGAATGTGAGCGCCTCGGCCTCGCTTCCAACGGGCGCCCCCCAGGCAATGAAGCGGCTCCTCTTGACCTCCGTCTCGCACCGCACACGCTCTGCCAGAGTCATGTAGTTCCCCCCCGGACCTTCCACTTGCCCCTCCTCGCTGCTCGCTCGGCACGTCAACGAGCGAACGTATTCTGCAATCCTTGTGGACCTTTTGGAAAGTTCGCCATTCGGTTCAAGGACTTTCCGTCTATGATACACATTTTGGCAGCAAGCAAGAGCGGAGTGGCACAGTGTGTGAGTGGACCGGTCGTGCACTCTCTGCAAGCAGTGAACTGTGGCTAAGGGTGAACTTCGTTGTTGATGCAACTTTCTTCTCCTATCTCCTGGCCTCGTGAATCCATGGCGATGCTGGCAAGGCGTCGTCGGCACACAGGGGTGCCGGCTACAGTTGTTAGCTGCTTCTGAGCCTAGAGAATGCTGCAGCCAGCCCCGCTCAAAGCACCCCTCTGCCGCCTTCGTTCGAGCGGAGAGGACGCCATGGTCAGCATGGTGTGCGAGCTGCCGGGCGGCTGCTGCAAGGGACCCTGCACGGGACGCCCTACCGAGCGCCATGGTCCTGATCCACAGACAGCCAATTTACGCTGATACTAATAGTAATAGGGAAGTGGACGACTTCTGTGCATTGACGAAAGCATTTCGTTTCAAGAGCGGAAAGCTGCGCGCCCCGCCACCAAATGCCAAATGGTGCATTGCCTCCACACAGGATGAAAAGATGCAGGAGCTCAGCTTTCAACCTGCATATAAGAGTTGCACATATGTATATAAGCAGCTGGGAAGCAGCAACCATTTTTCCATTAGCCAGGTAGTGCGTTACAGCCATTTTGCCTTATAACCGCTGTCCAATGCGCGTAATCTAAAAGCCCCCAGTTTCTGTAAAAAGCAGACAATCTGCTGCGGATATCTGCTGGAATTTGAAGCAGGGCCAGCTTTTGCTTTCAAATTTTGCTGTCACATTGCTCCAGCTGATGTCCGACTTCATGCGAGAGATCTTTGAAGATCAGAAGTGCAGAGAAGAGAGGGCGAAGGCGCCTCTTATAGCTAGTGGGTGCCAGCTGAGCTTGTTCGTCAGCTCTTCGAGTCTGAGCAGGAGCCATTGAGTCCTTTTCAACACCCAGCAAGGGCGCCCTGCTCGCTTGGTACGGCAGGTCGCAGCAATGGGCGCAATCCAGCTCTCTCAGTCTCCTGATGGCGCCCCTATCTTCTCTGTCACTGCGCGCACGCCGACAAATATCGCTGTAATCAAGTACTGGGGCAAGCGGGACGAAGCCCTGATCCTTCCCCTGAATTCTTCTCTGAGCGTCACTCTGGATCCAAATGATCTGGCCGCAACCACCACGGTGGCAATCAGCCCTGCGTTTGAGGAAGACAAGCTGTGGCTGAATGGAAAGGTGAGGTCGACTCCCAATTGATGGTCTCCTCTGGTGGTGGGCGATTTGTGGCGTGGGTGGTCAAAGCATTTTGGTGGTTAGGCATAGTATCCTGGGCGCTCGGATCAAACTTAGAATGGCACAGTACCTGCCGTTCGTAAGCTGTGGTTGCCAATTGGGAAAGCCGAGTGATTGGATGACTACAGGCTGTTAGTTACTGGGTGCTTGGGATCTGGTCTCTCTAATTCAAGGACAGCACTGGCGACCACTCTTCAGATCAGCGGCGCAGTTGAAACCAGTGGAATCAGAGTGTTTCGCTTGATTCCCGCCGACCAGCTCTAGCTTGAGCACTCTCTCGACCACAATGCAACACCTGCCTGACAAGTTCCCCAACTCTGGCACGCCTTATGGAACTTCGGATGCTTCGTCAGACAGGTCTCCCACGTGTAAGATTGTTTGTGATGCCTGTTGATGCAACCGCTGCGATCCTAATGCTCAGATGGGCTCCAGTCAAGGCTTGTTGCTATCCCCACCTTTTTCATCTCAATGATCATTTGGTACCGTGGTGAGCCTAACTTGTGGGCCATCTCCGCTTCTACCCCAAGATCCAAGCTAATGCCTTGCCCTCCCCCCCCTCCCCGATTCCCACAGGAGGTGTCAATATCGGACAGCGTCCGGTACCAGAACTGCCTGCGTGCCGTTCGCGAGCGAGCGCAAGGCATCGAGGCCGGAGGGGAGAAAGCGTCACAAGAGCAGCTACGGAGCTGGCGCATCCACGTCGCTTCACGTAACAACTTTCCGACCGCGGCGGGCCTGGCGTCCTCCGCAGCCGGTTTTGCTTGCCTAGGTGAGGGGGAGTAAGTAAGGCCTTCTCTTAAGAATTCCTCCCATACAGCCTCCTCAAGATCCATCGAGAAGGAGATGCCCAGCCTTTGTCGCTACCCCGTTCACCCTAACCTTGTTTCTCGCTGTCTGCAGTATTTTCCTTAGCCCAACTTCTAGGAGTCACAGAGGAGCGACCTGGCGACTTGTCGGCAATTGCCAGGTAAGTGAGCCCGCAATCTTCTTCTCTCATGGACGAGCATTTCCAACTCACTTGTTTAGGACAGGTCGTTTTGTCGCCGACTTCTTGCCGCGGTTCAGAGCTCATAACAGGTGCTTCAGGCCTGGTTCAAATTTCGGGCCCTGTCTTCCCACCCTTCTGGCCGGATGCACTATCATCTGTGTGATTCCGACTTGCAGGCTGGGTTCCGGCAGTGCCTGCAGAAGCCTATATGGCGGCTTCGTGCGATGGAACATGGGGCAGGTAAGCCTTCACTTGAGAATCTCACCAACGTTCTTTTGTCCAGAACGTTTGGCATTGTCCTCCTTTTCCAACTCCCACCAAATGTGGTGCTTCAATCATAGTGGCGACATCTTTCTCCGTTGCGTGTTTCTTTAAACTTCGCCGGGTGTACTTGACGCCAAGGAAGTCGATTCCGAAAGGAAGATGCAAAAGCTGAGCAGCCCCCTACGAATCACGATCTTCGCCCTTCGTGCTGATGGCTCAGGGACCGTTTCTTAGAACGCCCTTCGGCCGGGAGTGCGAAGTTTCATCCTTACTGCCGAACCCAGGGAGCCCCTCGGTCCCATTGCTTGGCCGCAGGCGAACTTTTGCGTGAAGCAAATCCTATTGTCAGCTGAAGTCTCTCGAAACGGCTTCTTTTCGTGTACAGCTGTCGTTTCCAAAGATGTCCAGATTACTGAGGTTCGCTTGAGAAGCATCGAAGCGTCCACCGTCCATTGTGCATGAAGCGTCCACCGTCGATCTGCATCGTGCAGGCATCGGACGGTCACGATAGCATCGCGGAGCAGGTGGCCGGGGAGGAGCACTGGCCGGACCTTAGAGTGCTGGTGGCCGTGGTGAGCCTTCGTATTCAAACTCTCGGTCGTTTGTGCTGTTCCTTTTGCAGGAGTGCCTTTAGCGCGCAACTTAGACGTTACTGCATCCTTTTGAAAGTTTGTTGGCGAAGAAAAGCGCCTTCCAGCAGCCCTTCTGGACGAAATCGCAAAAGGTCCAAAATTTTGTACATCGATGCAAGATAGGGAGATAGTGCGGACCTTCAATCCGATGTGGGGACGGAATGGAGAGGGCCAAGTCTCGAACGTTTTTGCGAAGAACGAGTTGCAAAGGACTAGAAGCGCCGCAAGACTCTCAGCAGTCTGTTTGCTCGCAACTTCGGGTCCTTGCAATTTTTCCGGAGAGTCTCTTGATCAGAAAAGTGAGCAAGAGCGGGCATTATGCATCTTTTCACCTTTTGGAAGCCGGTGACCAATCCCCGATATGCAACAAATTTTATCGGATGCTAATCCCTGCTCCATTCTCGCTGCACCGGTCGTCTTCAATCTCTACAATTTACACGTGAATCCTCATACTGGCGCCAATTCGTATCCTGCTATGTCTAGAAAAGTACCGCTTCAAAAGAATCACAAAGCGCACTTCAGGCCGTGTCAAACTCAGCTCTCCTATGTTCACGCCCATCAGGTAGCCTGCTCTTACCCCGCTTTTGACCTCTCTTAACGGATGCCAAACCCGCTCGTGACCCGCTCTTGACGCGTGCTTAAGCCGCTCGTGACCCGCTCTTGTAACGCGTCTAAACCCGCTTGTGACCTGCTCTTCACGCGTGCTAAACCGCCCGTGACCTGCTCTTAACGTGCTAAATCCGCTCGTGACCCGCTCTTGACGCGTGCTGAACCCGCTCGTGACCCGCTCGCAACGTGCTAAACCCGCTCGTGACCCGCTCTTGACGCGTGCTAAACCCGCTGGTGACCCGCTCTTGCTCAGCTCTCGACCCCGCTCCGCAGGTGAACGACCGGCAGAAGGACACGAGCAGCACCGCGGGCATGCAGCAGAGCGTGCGGACGAGCCCGCTGCTTCTACATAGAGCCAAGGTGAGCCTCCTCCCTTCCGCGACGCTCACATGAAGGACTTCGTAGGCAGGAAGCGAGCATCCCGCAATGACGTCATCCTGCCGCTGACGTTCGCTGTGAATGCGTGTAAATCTTGCCCGTTGAGTGATTGTTGCGCTGTCCCCGTCACTTGGTACTCTCAGAGTGAATGAAGCGGTGGAGAAGAGTGGAACCGCTTCGGTGTGCGGAGTTTGATTTTCTTCTGGCGATTGCGTCGGACCCTCCTAGCGTGCAGCTGTTTCGGGTCCTTACGTGCACTTGCGCTCAGAACAGCGGTGCGGCTAGGATCTTCGCACCTGCGAAATCTGCCACTGTCTAGACAGTCGATCATTGGTGAATAAAGGATTCATTCCGGACCTAGGTTTCAATTCCGTCCTAAAACTCAGTCCGTTTGCGTCAGGCGGTGGTTCCCGAGCGGATGGTCGCAATGGAGCGCGCGATTGCCGCGCGCGACTTCCAGGCGTTCGGCGCGCTCACGATGGCCGACAGCAACCAATTCCACGCCACGTGTCTTGACACGTCACCGCCGATCTTCTACATGAACGATGCGTCGCGCCAGGTCATCGGTCTCGTGGAGCAGTGGAACGCGCAGGCGGGGGAGATAAAGGTTGGTCGGGAAAGCGAACTCTTTGTGTGGTGATCATGAATCGTGGGCTGGAGCGGGCTTTCTGAGTTGTTTGGGCGCTGAATTGTGCAGGCTGATCGAGGATGGGCGAACAACGGGAAGCGAGACTAGAACGTATCGAGAGCTGTTTGGCAGCCGAGGCCGGTATCCGACGACGTCCACTTGAAGTTTTGAAATGATTTGCAGTTATGCCAAACTCTTGCGATGGTAGTGCAGGGATTGCTCCTGATGTGGTGGAGACAGTGACAAAGGCGGCATGAAACGCTTTTTCCAGCCACTGCGAATGCAAGTTGCTGTCAGGGTTTGCTTTCAAAGCAGAGACTTGATTGCTTGGGTCACCATTAGCCTTTCAGCCAGAATGTGAACCCTTGGATGACGTTGCCGGCGGCAAGCTGGGGTCTCTTTTGCAGAGCTTGAACGTACTCGACAAAGAAGTGAAGCGGGGCAGAGGGTGCCTTTCGTACAGCGTCGACTTTTTGGCTTTGCATCTCCTTTGGGTCTCATCCACAATCCTCGCGAAACTTGCAGGCGGCATACACATTTGACGCGGGGCCAAACGCTGTCCTCTTCTGCCTGGAAGCGGACCGAGGGGCCCTCCTCCGACGGCTGCTCTACCACTTTCCCCCTTCGGATTCTACCCCCCTGAACGAGTACGTCGAAAGCGCGGAGTTGCTGAAAGAAGCTAGCGTCTCCTCGGCAGATGACATCCGGGATCTGCCTGCACCGGAGATCAGTAAAGAGGCGAAGCCCGGGTTGCAATTCCCCGGCGAGTTGAAATACATCATGTCTACTCGGGTTGGGATGGGGCCACAAGTGTGTGAGAAGCCGCTAGAGCCACTGCTATTAGATGCGAGGACGGGCTTCCCTCCGGTTTCATAAACAAACAACGTTGCAGCTGTTGAAAAGCTGAGGATGCTGGCTGCTCGATGCCGGATTCTGCACCGCTCATGTGAATGCAATGTGGACCATGAAAACATCCGTGCACCTGCGTGCACGCTCAAAGTCTGTTGCCGCCTGTGCGGGGTGAACGCTTATTGTGGAAGAATTGCGGCACATGCACATGTAAGCACAACAGTCATTGGCATCCGAGTCTTCGTGACTACATCAGGCCCTGGCATCACGACGGCATGCATCATATATGTACTTAAAGCAGACTGCGCGCAAACATTCGGCTGATTGCGACTGCAAAATTGTACTGCCTGGCCCGCCGCCGCACTCATGCACATGCATATGAGCACAATGGGATCGCGGGCGCGCGGCCCGCGGCCCACATTGTGACATGGGTTAGTACATCATATAACGAGCTGTTATGAAGACATGGCCGCCGGCCCCCTGTCACGGTGCATGTATGGAATATGAATTCGCATATAAGCTTTCAAGTTACAGGAGCGATCCTGTTCTTCAATTAGCAACGCGCGGCCCATACCACTGACTGTTAGTGCGGTGGGGCCGGGTCATGCAGTGGGCCGGGCTGCATGATATCATTGTTTCGTGCATCAGGATCAGGGAACCATCTCGTTTACTAGGGTCCATGATCGCATATATGGACCCTCATATGCCCGGCCCCGTTGATTGAAATTGAGTTGCATGCACATGTTAAGTCACCTCACGGGTAGAACGATTGCATATACGATTAATGATAAAGGCTCTTTAAGGACTAGTTCTATTCCTATTCGTTTTTACTATCTATATCCTGCAAAGAAGTCTGCAGGAATTGAATATCAATTTAAAAAGTACGACAGACGCAAAAGGATCATGGAGTCCGAGTGATTTTGCACCGGCCTTACTTCGGTGATCAGTAACGATCTTATGATTTTCGTAACATTCTCACGGGTGGCGAAAGTGCGCACTGCAACAAGTTGCGGCCCTCCTTGTCCCCACTTTTGGTATTCAGCGCTCTGATTGCTCCATGGATCGCTATCCTCATGTCAGATGCAACTTTGCCAACTTTGCTTCTTAGCTTTTCGAGGATTTGCTGAAATATTGATCACTTCGTGACTCAACAGGGACTGACAATTTCCGGTCAGCTTAATCAGCGTCCTCTAAGAGACCCAACTTCTGGACATCGACTTTTTGAGGAGCCAAGTGAAAGCACCTCCATACTCGATTGTTACCTCGAAAAATGCCTGCTTTAAGAGGCTTGGCTTTTCTATAGTGTACAGACGGTCATTGAGAGCTTGACCACTTCGTAAGGTGACATTTCCGTGGACCTGACGCCTCATATCCTCTTGTTGACATCCTTCGCAGCCTTAGACACCTGCGAAAACGAAGCACCATAAGAACTGCTCATCTTACCGGATGAAAGCCGGTTCGATCTCGATATCCAGATCAGCAGAGCGGAAAATACGCGGCCTTTCACCGTAAAGTTCATCAAAAGTCGATGCATGGAGCTGCTTGACTTCCAGGTTCGCATAAATGAACAGAGCACGAAACGCTATCGCTTCCTGAGTTGGAACATGACAACAAGGGTAACCTGCACATGTGGGCTGAGTTCCTTCTCACCTCATCCTTCAGGGCCTCTGCGTAGGTGCGCGCTTGCTCTGCTATTTGCTGCTGGTAATCAGCGCCTGAGTGCAGGAGGAAACGTGGCGTTTCTGTTGACAAGTACGCAGACAACGTTCCGACGCGAAAATCTCGCTCTGACAGTTGGTCAAATAGATTTATCGTCCTTTCAAGTAGACGGTTTTACAGCTGGTCGTCGTGCTCTATACGGTCGCAATAGTGGTTGCAAACATGCTGTCACAAGTATTCGAACGGGTTTCGCTTTGACAAGGCCGAACAGAGTAAACAAGTGACTATAGCTGTGCCGAGTCCACCTACTTCAGAACGCGGGTGACCCTGCGGCGTTTCGGAGAGCTGTGCAACCAGCTTACAAACAGCTCGGAAGAGTTGTAACGACCAAGTATACATACACCCTCTGAAAGCACACACTGACGAAAAAAATGCAACAGTAAACCACACGTAAGAAGCAGCAAAGCGCAGGGCTGCCAAGCACAACGACCAAGCAAAAGCTGTGGCAGAGGTTTCAAGCTGAGGAAAACACTAGCCTGTCGTAACCCAGGAACTCACTCTTCTTCGACAGTTCCTCCATCTGTTTGCTGGTCCGGATGGCCCATCTCTGGAAGGAGGGGCTGCACATGAGCAATAAAGTAGACATAGTAAACATCCAATCCTCCTTTCTCTTCACACGAATACGATTCCTACACGCGGTCTTTTCCTTTTCGTGGACCTCTACAATGTCAGCAGGGTATGCGAGGTAAATTCCTCGTTAAGTACTGGTCCTTCCATTGGTTGCACGACATGATATGACGACTTATCGTGTCAACAAGAGGAAAGCACATATCGATGGACAAAAGGGAAGAGACCAATTCTGTCTCCAACCTCTTTCTAGTTGGAATAACGAATTGTCAGAATCCTCGTTGGAACCAACACTGCAGCAAGCCAGCCTTGATGCACTTGTCAAGACTTCCTGTGTTGTGCATCATTGATCTTGAATGCAAACCAAGCATGCACATAAGCTGTCTATACAGAGAGACTGCTGAGTCAACGGCCAGGAAAACGCCAGACTGAAAGTTCGTAGCACACTGACAAGGTGGATGTGTAAGAACAAATTGCAGGTTTTGGGTCGGAGCTTTGTTGTAAGGCAACGTCACACAGTCAAGTCAGCTTCACTTCCAGAGAAGCAAGTGCAATCAAAGAGACTGATTGAAATGTCCACAAACTTTCTAGCGGAACGGTGTGCTATCTTCCTTTGAACATGATGGCTTTTTGAGAGACAAGTACAGCACAGGAAGAAATTGCAAAAGTGAAAGATGCATCGAGGAGCGGAAAGACTTGAGCGAAGTCAAGCACAAGAGAGCTCCGCGAAGTCAAGCACGAGAAAGCTACAGTAAACAGAAAAGACTTGGCTTGAGTGGGAGGTGAGGGGCCGAATCTATCAAATGACTTCTTCCTTCTACTTACGTAAGCAGCTGTTGGTAAAAGCCTCCAGCAGAGCTTTGGAGACGTGGGGGAGTAAGCAGCGACCTTGATACCACATAGATGCGATCTGGATAAAGAAGCAGAAATCCGATAGCACAGGGACACATAAGACATGCACTCAGCGTGGGAACATAACCAGACCAGTGCAACAAGACTCGAACTGTGGGCCACGAGAAGGTTGTGAAAAACATTCACATAGGAAGTTTATAACTATTAGTATGATTCCATGAGTTGACTCCTTGGAAAACTTATGGGGCCAACGTTTGGGTAAGCTTTGCAACCGTGCCAGAAAAGTATCACAATTAAGGGAGACCATCTGAAATTTCTGAAAGCTCACGTACCCCATGCAGATGGAAGCAACTGGAGTACAACTCCGCCTGATTCCTCAAGTGCACAACAGAGGCTTGAGACCGCAATTCAACAACTGAAGGGGAACTGATAAAAGCACACTGAAGGCTGAAACATAATCACAAGGTGTTTAAGACACCTTTTCAAACAAGGATAAATCAAAGGTTTTGAAAAGGAAGACTGCTGATGAGCAGAAGATGGAAACTCTGAAGCAAAAGTTTAGACTCACTGGTTGGACAGGCGCTCGACAATCAACTCGTTTGCCACGTACTGCACCACCCTGGCAAAAAAGTTGCCCCCCGCCATGGTTTAATGCAGGGCCAGTTAACACCCCAGATGTAGAAGATATCAGATGTTTCAGTTTCCTCGAGCCTGATAGTTTACTGTGCAGCCTACTTGCGCGTAAAGCAACTTCGTGCCGGGACCCTCGCTTGGCCTGCCCCTACAATCTACAGACTACAAGGTGCGCTAGCAAAGCCAGTATTTCTTATTCTGCTAAGGAAACATGCCCTCAAAGGACATCATACTTTTTGGAATCCAGCAGAAAACAATCAGCACGTACACGCTTGGCCTCTAGATCTGAGCACAGCCGCCGCGCCCGGCGGCAATACTGTTGCACACACCTGCTACCCAAGAAAGGCCCCCGATGCCCCGACAAGACCCTTGTGTGCACCTCCTCCAAGTCCTAGGTTGTGGCGGCTTGAAATTAAGTTGGATATGAGTGCAACAAAAGATGTTGAGCACCTTTTGTGAGAAGGCGTTGCAGGCTGCAGCTTGCGAGTTGCACTGTTGCAAAGGGTGCTGGACAGGTTCGTGTTAAGCTGATTCTAACCCTCGTTAGCATCGAAACCCAAGGGTCTACAGATTTCTGTCGTCCTGTTTAGTTTAACTATTCTGTGGACTTGGAGAAATCTGGGCGGTCGATCTGCCAAAAAGGATCTGCTTTGACCGTCGATCTGGTGACGTTACCGGTTTGATGATTAAAGGCAGTACGTCTTGTCTGGTTATGAAAGCGGGTTTGTCTTGTCGACCCACTCGGGTTCACACCCTAACTTCACACGGGTCAACAGATCGTCTCGATCCATCTCGATCGCTGCAAAGCTTGGCGTGGGAGAGGCATGTAGAGCCAGAGGCAGAGGCGCATCTATCCGCCATTACTAAGTTGCACCACCCTCACGAGTCACGTCGTTTTGTTTGGAAGGAGGATTGGCCAAAGTCTTGCTGCGCAATTTTATCGAGCCATGTGTCAGGGTTTCCAAGCCGAATGCAGAGACCGCCTTTCAACTAGATAATGTGGTGCCCCATCCCGTGGTGTTCAATGCTGTAGCTTCTTCATGAGCTGACGCTTCCACCAGCCATTCTCCCCGCTGATGGCCCTTCGGCGGTTGCTCATTCGAGCGACCAAACCCAGTGCTTACAAGATTTCATTCGGAAAGTCAGGTGCCGTCTTTGAAGGGTCCTTTTCTGCGCGGGCAAGCAGTGGCCTGGATGCGACCACTAGCGGCGCTGGATTGGTTGATGAAGGGAGGAATGCAGATTTCATCGAAGGACAGGGACTTCCCAGTCGGAGACAGGGGCCTGAGGGCTTTGAATTTGGTGCACCTCCTTTAGATGGAAGTGGGCCCTCGATAAGCAGCGGGGATGGCAAGCAAAAGCAGGAGAGTGGGAGCCGAGAGGTTCAGGCAGGGCACAATGATCTGAAACACCAACCATTATCGCAAATTGGAAGCATTGAGCCAGCCCTGCGCTCTTGTCAAAATCAAGAACTTCCCTTGTTTGGGCTCAGAAATCTGGGTTACCCCTTGCAATTCAAATGCAATCCTCTTTCCCAAGTCCGACACTACGCGAATGCGGCAGTAGTGGAAGACACCGACGTTGACCCCTCAGTGTCAATGCATAGGGAGCAATTCCTGCGTGCTTCGAGCCGGAAGGTTGAGAAGCCGCAGCCGGTGATCAAAGCCTACCTTCGTGATGCACCTGGGAAAATTCCGAACAAGAAGGAGAGGAGGCAGGGCCTGGTGCCGGGGGTCATCTTCAGCGGGAAGGACGGGCACAAGGGGGGCGATAAGCGGCTGATCTCGGTTGGGCATAAGCAGCTGTCGGCCATTCTGCAGCCGCTGGGGAAGTTCTTCTTTTCTGCGATGACCTGGGACCTGGAGCTGTATGAGGGGCGGCCTGGGGAGGAGGCGGCAGCGAAGAAGACGGTGGAGAGAGTTGTGCCGAAGTCGGTAAGATGAAGTTGGTGGTTGCAGGTTGAGCGTATTTAAAGCCTCTGATTTTGAAACGTACTTCTAGCCTGGTTCTATGAAGAAAGCAGGTGACACAGGATGAGCAGGTGTTAGAAAATCTGGCTTCCATTCATTTGGACGCTGCGGGAAGCTTGCGAAGAGGAAGAAACGTTTGATACCGTAAAAATCCTCACGATTCTGGTGCTAAAAAGATGAGAGTTTGGCTGGATGATAAGGAGATGTGTTGCTGGTATGAAGCTTGAGTGCCAAGCCATCTGTCTTCCTGGCGCCACTTTGTGAGCGCAAAGGCAGCCTTTCCAAAGAGACTTTTCTCCGATCGTTGTATCAGCGCTGATCAGGCAGAACGTTCTGCAGGTGCATTTGCACGCAGCTACAGACGAGCCGATGAATGTGACGTTTATGAGAGTTTCTCCCGACGAGAAGATCACGGTAGATGTCCCGCTTCTTTTCATTGGGGAGGACGCTTGCCCAGGCCTGAAGAAAGGTGCGGAGCTTACTCCTTGCTTGGTCAATCGTTGACTCGACGCTTTTGCCTCAAGAAGCTTCTGGATTCCTCCTTCAGCATATCACAGAGCCATGTACTCTCTCCTCGTTTAGCATATCACAGAGCCATCTACTCTCTTAGCTAAAGGAGTGCCTCGGAGTGGCCAGACTTCGATTGTTTGTTCAGTTGACGTCCCTGAGCATTGGTTTCTTGCAGGAGGTCGTCTAAACACAGTACGGCGATTGGTCCGATATGTGTGCCCAGGCGACAAAGTTCCCCCATACTTGGAAGTGGACATCAGCAGACTAAACATTGGACAAAGCATCTATCTCAAGGACCTACCAGCCGATCCGGCTCTGAGGATAGTGGCAAAAGATCTGAAAATGCCAGTCCTGAAAATTTCGGGCCGAACTCAAACAGATAGCGCTGACGGGGAGTAAGCAAAAGATTTTGTAAGATTGCTTTTGGAGCTGCGATGACGATGCACTACCTGAAGCTACTCTAGAGCCTCATCTCGTTCTTTGGATTTGAGTCCGTCCTAATCTCCATTGCCTGCACCCGAACCAGTGGCCATCTCGGGCCGCGTGAGTCACTGGCACACTGCATGGGCCGTAGGTGGCCCTACGCCAGCAGGGACGATATGTCAGCTTGACGGTATCATGCATGTTAGTGTTTCGATACAGATAGCTTTGAGCGACGGTCATATAATGATATGTGCCCATGTGTTGCGAGGTTCAGTTAGTATGAGTGTAAACATGTCACGCGGTAATACTGAATGGTCATATATACTTGCCAGGTATGCTGGCCCACAAGGCCACATGCATGCCACGCATATGTATATGTAGCTGACGGTAGTGTATCATTACACCGGATCGGTGTAGTAAAGCCGAAACATGAGCTTCCCGGTCCCCTATACCGTACCAAAGCCTTCAAAGGCGATATCATGGTGCACGCCGGGCAATGACGCCTAGCTGAGCAGGGACCGGCGGCGCGGCCAGAGCTTGAAGTAAACCATGAGTGCATAGCCGGGTCCGAACGGCCCTCAAAATTCCACAGATTCCAGCTCGACATTGCAAGAGCATGCATGGAAGCATACCAACTCAGATCTCTGTACGAAGAAGGACAAGCGCAACGTAATAATCAGGTAAACCTTGCCTATTACCCATCGAAGTTCCGTGTCGACCAAGGAGACTCTACCTTGGCGGCGGGCATCTAGCATACAATGTGTGAGGCCCTGTCTTGCGCACCGCAACATTATCCAGGTCTGCCATGACCACAAGATGCGCTCTGACAGACTCGACCTGGCACGCTGACTGCAAATCTAAATCTACATCCGAGACACCCCCGCATGCGTGGTTAGTATCGAGCACATGATGCAGACTCCCTAACTGATCTCGGCAGTCACCTCCATAGCGAAACAAAATTCCCCCTCAACTCTGCACCTCTAAGGGGATCTCTAGCTGGCCCTCTTGCAGCAGCACGACCTCGTACATATGCTCGACCATGAGTTTGAACGACTCTCCCGGTATGACAATGTCCTGCGAATGGTACAGCCGCATCGCGTCGACCACGCCCTTCTCCTGCCACACCCCGTACGGGTCCACGAGCACCGGGTCGTCCGGCGGGTACTTTTCGTAGAGCGAGCTATCGTTCACGGGCACCTTGTACTCCATGTACGTGCACTTGAGCGAGAATGCAATGTTCTTGTACTCGCGCCCCACCCGCAGGTAGTCGTGGTACTCCCCCCACGGCATCAGCTGCGCCACGACCCCCCTCTCCCGCATGAAGACGAGGTTCGTGAACGCGGCCCCGTGCACCCCCACGAACACGTCCAGCTGCCGCATCACGCGCACCACTTCTTTGGGCGGCAGCTCCTCGAAGTGGATCACAATTACGCGGAACCCAACGCCCTCCGCAAGCGCGATGCACTCGGCGAGGTTGGTCAGCTTGCGCGTGCTCAGCCGCTGCACGAAGCCCAGCACGGGCCGCTTCTCCGCCGTGAACTTCACGCCGACCGTGAAGTCCTGGTCCGGGAACCCGAACCGCCGCTGCAGAAAGTTGCCGAAGTCGCGCAACCGCACCCCGGCCTTCTGCTCGCTGCGCGCCTGCGCGCCCCCCTCCTCGTCGTACAGGCACAGGTTGTGCGGCGTCCCGACGAGCACCTGGGAGAAGCACTCGACGCCCTGCGCCGCCCCGTCCAAATCTTCGGACCGTCCGAGCAGCCGGACCGGGTAGTTGGTCATGGCGCCCAGGATGCTGTCCCCGATCTTGTCCTCGCTGCGGAACCACCACGAGCCCTTCAGGTCCACGATGATGATCACCACCTCGCCGTTGTACACGTGGACGGCCTGGAAGAGCGGCAGCAGGACCTCGTTGAAGTCGTGGAAGATGTTGCCCGAGTAACCTGCGGACGGGGGGCGATCGATCAGCATGGAGCCAGAAGGAATAACAGAATTGCACCGCAAACTTTTTGCAATGTTCCCTCGAGTAGGCGAGTTTCGGACGCTTCAGACCCTGCTGAGAGGTTTGGGATCTGGGTTTGTTGGCGGGTTTACAAAGAGAGATCGGAATGAAGGATGGACAACTTTGAGGGGATGTGTAACTCCTAGGAAATCAATCAGAACGGGGGGGAAAGTCGCGCCAAGGGCGCCGAACCAGAGAAGATGATGCCCACGATCCTTCAGCAGGATGAACACTTCTGGACTGTCAAGGAGCATGAGCACACAAAGTGTCACGGAGGTTCACAGAAGGCCCCACTACTGGTGTTCGTTTCCCAACGAAGATGATTTAAACACGGGTTGACAGAATCAGTGTGCAAAAGTTGGAGGAATCTATTTTCTTCATCCAAGAAGACAGGAACTGCTTAAATAAGCAGAGAATCGGTCTGGTCTTTGTGAGGGGGGTAAGGAGTTGACAAAAACTGTCCAACGAGCTTCTGCGGCGAATGTCGAGCTGATTGCCCGAACTATGTGCACTTCGCGTTTTTGACAAGTTCTAAGGGCGATTTATCAATGGCGAAAAATGGCAATGCAGTCGCGAATGCCTGATTGTTGGTATTTGCTCGATCTAGTTCCTTGCTTGTACGCGCGTACCTACTACCCATCCGGCCCGTCGGATCCGACTAGCGCGCGCAAAATCAGCGATCGTACGCGGCGCGGCGGCAGCCCGTGGCGGCTCAACCGGGCACTATTTTGTTGCGCGGAAGATGTACTATTAGTGGCCGGGGCCGGCGAGAGTTTGAACAACTTTGAGAACTTGAATCTCAACTCGGATTGGTCCGAACTTTGAAATTGTGACACTATCGAGTCATATATGAACTTCTCCGCAACAACTCTCGTTGATTTCGGCAACGGTCTGTGGAGGCGGAAACGGGAGAGGACGTACAGGTGTAATACAAGGCAATGCCACGCCTGACGGCGTTTGATGGCATTGCCAAAAAGCGAAATGACTCTCAAAAGTATGAGGGCGCTGATGTAGCAGAATCTTTCGAACTATCCTGGTAGCAGGCGGCGGATTAGACTCCTCCTCAAGCGGGGACAGATCACTGAGCTGGAACGGAATTCCTTCGGGCATAATCTGGCCCTGAGCACAAACGTTCTGCACTCCTGGATCCAGATGAGAGAAGCTTTCCAAAAGCGGGTTCCTTGATCTCTTCCACAAACACCAAGACAAGCAGAATAATCTGTTGCCAAGTGTCAAGTCTTTCAGTGGCACGATGCTTCACCAGAGCGGGCTCCTGTTTGCAACCAACAAACAAGCCTGTGCAAGCTGATTTTGTTGGACAAGGAGCACGCGACAACAAACGAAAAGGCAAGAAACAGACAAAAGAGTTCGTCAAGACAAAAGGGCAGGATGTCTGACAGCACCTCACATTGCAGAGCTTTCAAGGCTGTCTTCCGGCATTTTAAAACGAGTCAGTCTGCGACAAGCTGGGCCCAGCTAACCCAGAGGTCCTTGACATTAGGCGCGCCAGTTGTTTTCCGGTGGACACAAAATCAGGCAGCAGCAGGGCTTCACAAGGCTTCAGTGTGGACTGCTATCACGTCGACAGTCCAAATCTGGAAGGACGTTCATAAGCAGACCTTGGGACTTAGTCCAAAACATGAGTGTGGCTCCCCACATTGCGTTTAAACGCAACAAGGAAGTGCCCTTTCCTTGCTCAGACTTTCGAGAGCTCCTCATCCATTGCTCTATATCCTTCAATGTTGAAATACACCCCCTTCGGAAAGATAGATGAGTGCTCACTCAACTTCAGCGACACATGATGCCTGCTCTGAGAATACGGCAGACTTTGATTACAGAAAGAGGAAAGTAACATTAAGGCCACAGTACAGCCTCGCCCATGCTATCAGAATGAGCTCCCATCCAGAAGTTGGAGTCCAGATTAAACTTCAGATTGCTGAGCTCCGGGCATGATTGAGGCCAGGGTACAGGCGCAGTGTATAGGAAGAAAACAAACAGAAGCTCAAGCGCCAATTGCCCGTTGGCGGCTTGATTCAGCAAAGTCAGCAAACACTCACAGCACCGTCAAGTTTACCAGATCAAATGAAGAAGCAAGCAGCCTCTGCGAAGGCCTTGAAAGAGATCCGCCCTCACCTGCTGCTTGCTTTCGCACTCCAGGGAGCACAAGCGGCGCACATCAGTCAATGCCAGTACATCATCTAAAGGATTCTCAAACTTGCTTACCTCCAGCAGACACCACAACCGCCGGCACTGGATGCACCCTTTTGCAGCGCGGCGCCTCTTCCCTCCCCAATACACTGGACACACTGACGTTGCTAATGTGCACCATGACGGGCGTGTCCCACCGCCTCGGATACGGCTGGATCAGCTCCTCCCCCGTCGTCGTGTCCTCATCTTCTGCATACAGACGTATCGTCCCCCCCGGCAGGTCCACCCTGACATCCCCTCTCAGCAAGCAGTACTCCGACAGCGTCTCCCTTGTGCACCGAAACACCTCCCTCTTCTCCAGCAGCCCGATCTGGCGCAGCCGCTCGATCGACAGCCCCTCCCATTTGGACCTGGCCGCCAGGGCCGTCCCCGACTTCCGCAGCTCCCGTTCGGGACAGCTCGACGGCGACTCTGAGTAGAGCGTCAGCAGGCTGTAGGACAGGGAGGCCAGCACCAGCGTGCAGAAGAACAGCGTTGAGCGGCGCACGGTGCGTGGCCGCCTGCGCTCATTGCTGGCATCCTGCTCCCAGGGACGCTGCGCCGACGTGCTGGCCGCTGGAGCGGTGGAGGCCCGTCCGTCGGGGGGGTGCGAGACAGCCCTGGTAACCATTGGCTCATCGGCAGCCTACCCCCCCGTCGAGATTGGCTGCCAACATGCAGAGCGCGCTCCTTTCGAGAACTCTCAGGCAGCTCTAGTGGCACGGCTGCCGGCCTGTCTTGATTGCAGGAGGTTTCACGTTTCACGGCAACTGCTTGGTGGCGACTCTAGGGAACTTGCTTGGTTCACAAGATGATGTGACTGAGCGTGTCTGCCCTCTTATTTATTCAAGGACCATGCTTTTACCCAATTGAGACCAAAGACCAGATTGGGGTCAACTCTGCCGACTCTAAGACAGGGCAAAGGCATTCATTGTGGCTTTGGAAGCTTACAAATCTGCTCCTAGCGGCCACAACGCTTGAAGTTGAACGCATTAGCCTTCCGAGAAAACAAATTGGTTTTACCCTAGATTACCCTGGCTAAGGGGACCGAACTACAAAAGATACCCTGACCTGAGAACTTAGTCTACACAGGAAACCCAAAGACCAGGAAAAGGCTCACTACTCCGTGGGCACTACTTCTTGGCCACGCATGAATCGGATGCCATTTTGCATCGCTGTAGAATTTATCAGGGCCCTATACTGTTTAAAATGGTGCCCTCAAGATTGCAGGGACCGGCAAAACCTCTGCTGCAGATGAAATGCGTTCTCTCGGGACATGTCTCTGCGTTGGAGAAGGGTTGCAACTTGCAATGAAGGATGCCAGAGTCCAGACGTCTGCAAAGAAGCAGTCCTAGGATAGGTCTATCCCCTGTCCGTCATTCCAAGTTTGCTGGATCACCCTGGCAAAATCAAAATTGGAGTTCTGACTCTGA